ATCATGTCTTACTTCTTCAGTGTTAGCAACTTCTGGGCATCCATTCTCTTTTGAAAAGAAAGATGCTGTGTCTAGGTAGTTTTTACCTTTCCATGCTCTGAGTCAAGCTTTCTCCTTTTATTAAAATTCTTATTTCTATGAAAGTTGTATATGCATGGCCTCATACCCTCAGGTCTAGGTCAAGAAGTGACTGGACAGTGTTCTTTAAATGGTTCCTTTTTCCATTGGGTAAACCTTTTTAAAAGGTCATCCATTGGGCTGGGGATATATTTCAGCAGCACAGTGCCTGCCTGGCAAGCATGAAGTCAAGAGTTCAATTCCCTGTACCAAAATAAGGTCATCCACTGCCAAACATGATGTCTCATGCCTATAATCCCAGCACTCAGGAGGCTGAGGCAGCACTGCAAGTTCAAGGTCAACCTGGGCTATACAGTAAGACCCAGTCTCAAAACAAAACAAATAACCAAAAAGTAGGAAGTCATGAAACTTTGTATGATAAGCAAACAAGACCTTTACAAACACTTTATTATGTTGGATGAGAGCTTGGCCAGGTACTCTCATTTATTCCCAAAAGCTGAGAATGGGTGCCACACTACATCATTTGATTACTTCAAAGTTACCAAAGACATTAACTGCCAATTTTCAAATGAATAAAATATATTTTAAAACCGTGTTGTCCATCAATATTTGATGGAAAATACCTGTTCCACGATATGCCTAAGATGTTTGATATTCAGACAGATAGGGTAAGCTGAACTGCATATATTGCAGGTTAATAATAAACTTCTCTTCTGGAGGGTTAACAACCTAAGTTAGCAGATCAAAATTGGAGAAAAGGAAGGGCTGCAAGGTCAGCCAACATTTTGGCCCTAGCCTTTCAAGGTCAGTGAAGACTCGGGACATAGGAGAACCTGTACTGTAACATCATGTAACTCAGTTGTGCTCCAAATTTTCTAATCAAGGAGATTATGGGGCCACAGAGGAATGTGATCAATGATGTATAGTGTGCCTGGGGAGAGTCACATGGAGAGAAAACATTCTCTCAGGCTTTCACAGAGAGCAAATTGGTCAAGCAATGGCCATGTCTCATCCACATGGCTGACAATGACAAAGGATCTACAAAGTGCGGTATAGGGCTACAGGATAAATCCTGAGGGTACTTGACTGACCTTATCAGATACTAAAGTTACATTTCTTGTCATATAGGTCTTGCTTTATCTTGGTTTTAACCATCCAGCAGAAAAGTACAAAAACGAGGTATATAAAGTAAAGCCATATTAATACGATGAGCTGTAAAAGGCTCAAGCCAATAACTTCTGAGGATAACCCACTAATATTATAGACTGCTAGACAATGTTGGTTTGTTTTACTGAATTCAAGCATCTATGGTATTTAGATGCCAATAGAATACCCACCTCTGACAGGACTGAAAAAAAAAAAAAAGCAGGATACAAAGGAAAGATCATTTTGTATTTATATATACAAAATAGTTAGGATACATATATAGCTACTTTCGCTTAATTCAATGAGAAGAAAGAGGTGTACTAATTGTGTTTGGACAGGCTATCCTGTCTGCTTCTTGTACTATGGATAACCACTAAGAAGATGACAATGTACAATGTATTGATTATAGAAACTGTCCTATTAATCAGCTTTGAAACTGTCTCATTCATATTTGTTTTTCAATAAAATTAAAATTAAAAAAATAAAACCATGTTGTCTGATATGGCAGCCACTAATTACAGCGAGCTATTGTGCACTTGGAATGTGCCAATCTGAAGGGTGATGTAAAGAAAAAATTTCACTAGATTCAAAGACTTGATTTTTTAAAAAAATAAAATATCACATGGGCAATTTTTTTTCATTTTGATGACATTAAAATAATAGTTTTGATATACTGAGCTAATGTAAAGATGTTAAATATTTTAATTTTTAATGGAGTTATTAGAAAAATTTAAATTGTATTTAAAATACATTACAGGGCTGGTGAGATAGCTCAGGGGTTTGATCACTGGCACCATAAGCTGCCCTGGCTCCTCCCCTGGGCAGGCTGAGTTGGCCACCAAGACCCAGTGTGGGGGTACAAGCCTATAATGCCAGTGCTAGAGAGGCTGAAAACAGGAGGATTACTACGAGTGTGAGCTGTGTGGTAAGACCCTGTAGTAAATACATAAAATAATAAAAAATAAAAATGAAATGCATTACATTTTGATTGGACTGTACTGCTTAATACAAATGACAAAATACGCTTCCATGATGAGGAACATCAGATATACAATAATGCAAGAAAAACTGTATTTACACTTTGGATACAGTTTAAAATATCATCAGGTAACAATGGAATGTTCCTAAAACTTCCATTAGGTTTACAGCCATATCCAACCGTGTTAATAGAGGAAGGACTCAATCCTACAAGTAGTATTTTAGGGATCAAGAAGAAAAACGAAATAAAAGCCACAAAAGAGGGAGTAAGAGAAACAATATCTGTAACTAAAAGACATTTTAAAATGAAAGCAGTATTTTAAATAGTTAATAGACCCTTTTAAAAATGCTTTGCCAGGTGTGGTGGCACATGCCTGTGATCTCAGCCCTGGGGAGGATGAAGCAGAAAAATTGCTGAGAGTTGAAAGCCACCCTGGGCTTCAAGGCCAGCCTGAATACACAGTGGTACCCTGTCTCAAAGAAAAACAAAAACTATTATTTTGATTAATTTGATGAACTCTTCCAATTATCAGGTAACCAAACTCTGTAAAACTTAACAGACTTCTTAACCTGGTAAAGGTAGACTAGAAACGCATCCATGGAACAGAAGTGAAAGGTCTGAAATTTCTTCATGGAAACATATGCTCAGTTTCCAGCAAGGTACTTATAATTAAACACTGTACAACGATGAAACCAGCTAACATTTTTATAAGATATCCTGCAATATTACATTGATCAATTATTACAGAATTTAAACAAAACTGTTTTCAAAATTCCAAAGCACCACAATACCATTTCAAAACCTAGCTGACAATTAGAAAGAGAACAGTTCCTAAAGACGGTGAAATTAGAAATTGAAAACTCAGGGGGCCAGGGAGATAGCTCAGTAGAATAAATGCTTGCCTGGCAAGCGCAAGGTCCTGAGTTCAATCTTCGGTACCACCAAAAAAAAAAAAGAAAAAAGAAAAAAGGAAATTGAAAGCTCAATAGCAACAAATATTTGCACAGCATGGTTACATCATGCTATGATCCTCAGGATACTTTTCTTAATTCCTTATGTTTTTATCTGTACTTTAGAGGTAATTCCAGTCTCAGAGACCTTGACTTTTTCAAGGTCACAAAGCTAAAAATACACATCAAAGCCAGTATTTCACCCCAAATTAGCCTTCCATAACAAGAGAACCATTCAATTAAAATCACGTTTAGAATCCAATAGCTTAATGTCAAAGAAAGATCTAAGGATCAACTAGTGAGTTCAATCCCCGGTTGGGGGGGGGGGGATCAACTAGGTCAAACCTTAGGACTCCACAAACACCAGGCATTGGAATCGGCTGAATTATCAAGAGAGAGGAAAGGACTTGAAAGATCAGGGGCAAAGATAATCTGTCCTTGGGTGCAGCACAGGAGAATTGCAGTATTCAAACAGAAAATGCAGAGAAACTGTACTTTTTCTCTGGAAAGACGTTTCCATGTAATACCTCTAGGCTAAAAGCTAAATGATTATGTAGTCACTTGAACTATAAATGTGTCTGAGCATTTTACTTAATTTATCGGCACTCAGAAAACCCATACATCTAACTGGATACAACCAGCCCCACATTTCCCCGTATGTACTAGCATTACACTCCACAAAAATCAAACGTGAAACAGAGGTAAAGAAAAACGCTGGGCAAGAGGATGACAACGTCAAACCCGGTGTCCTTCCAGCGAAAGCATCTTTAGGGGAGGACAATGGCATGAGCAGGATTACAGACCCAGATCAACCTTTGGGACCCAGAGACGACAGCCCCGCGGGGAACAAGATGCGCCACGGGCTGGGGGGGACACATAGGGGTTCCCAACACAGCTTTGCATCCGCGTCCCAAGCCGGCGAGGCCGCGGCGGCTCCAGCGTGGCAGCGCCACACCGGGCCGCGCCGCAGGCTCCACGGGGGCCGCCAGGTGGAGGGTGGGACGCCCGGGACCATCCCAGGTGACCGCCGCCTGCAGAGCCGTCCCCGACTGCGCAGGGACCCCAGAGGCCGCCAGAACCCAGACACTGACCAGTCCTCAGAAGCCGGAACCCCGAACGCCCGGAACCCGACCCCCGGCCAGCGCTGTCCGCCGGCGCCGCCCCACCTGCACGCCCGCCCGC